GTCTGTTCTCTGATCTCCGTCTGCGTGCAATAACATCATATGGATCTCTCTTTAGGTCAATAGATATATGTCATCGTTGGGCACGAATGCAAAATCTTCTTTTGTATGTCTCGGCCATATATTGATTGTCCAGTCCTCTTTGTATTGGACTCTTACTATTTCTGATTGTTCTTTGATCGCTAACATTAAGCATGCTCGAGACTTCACATGTAGAAGCAGGGATGCTGGACGGACAGGTCAGGTCCTTGACATCCTGACACATATTGCAGACTGACGGTGTGTCAGTCAGCGGCGAACTGTTAACCTCAAGGTCCGCGGGGCAAACCTACCAGGCGCTCCATGGGGGCAGGATGAGGGTGACTGCTCCTGTCAGGTTTACAAGGCCTCTGACACCCTACAGAGGGTGCAATGAGTCAGAGTTGACTGGTGGCCGTGGGTAGGTTTGGGTGGACACACCTCTAGATGGGCCACTCTCCAGCTTTGCATCTTTATGTCCCTGCACTTTAAAACATGTCCATCTATGACTTCAAATGGGCAGTCATCTTTTTTTCTTTTTTAGAGATCTGGCATGTCATTTCTCTAATTGAATGAAAAATATAAAGCCTTAATCCAACTGGAGCACATGGCTTTTGATTTCCACTTCTGATGAAAAATCAAGTGACACATCTTTTCCTAAGGACAGCGGTTGAGTGGGTGAGGTAAAGTTTATTTTTTTAGGGTGGTTTGTTTTTCCTTAATTATCCCTTATTTGGGACTCCTCTGGTGTAAAATAAAAACAGAAATCTCACTGCCGTGGAGTCGAATCTGACTCACAGTGACCCTATAGGACAGGGTAGAGCTGCCTCACTCTGACTCACAGTGACCCTATAGGACAGGGTAGAACTGCCTCATTGACTCACAGTGACACTATAGGACAGGGTAGAACTGCCTCACTCTGACTCACAGTGACCCTATAGGACAGGGTAGAACTGCCCCTGTGGGTTTCTGAGACTGTAACCCTTTGTGGGGGTAAAAAGCCTCATCTTTCTCCCAAGGAGCAGCTGATGATTTCAAACTGCTGACCTTGTGGTTTGCAGTCCAACTTGTAACCCACTATGCCACACAGGCATAGGCAGTACAAACCCAACCACAGACCTCTTCTACCATCTCTTTATCCTGAAATCTCCAGAGGTCACCAGGTCTCATCCTCTTGGCATCTATCTGTCTATTCTTTTCTCTCTGTATTTTCAAATACAACATAAGCACATAGAAATGCATGGATGTAGTATGCTGTGGTGGCTGCCTAATCTCATGTCAACTTGATAACTAGAATGAAGGGTGGAGTCTAGCCTGTGAATCAGGTAAGAGCCTGATGATCCCTCCTTGTGGGTGTGGGCTTTTCATAAGGAGGGTCCTGGGAACCCCGCCCCCATCTTTCTGCCTTCACCTTCCTGTTGACAAGACACATTGAGCCACACTGATGGGAGCCAAAGCACAGGCGATCTGTCCACTGCCATTGGATCCACAAGACTCTCCACCCACCGCCTGTGATCTCCTGCCCTTGCATCATTGCGTGTGGCTGCGTGAGTTTGAAGAGGGATTTATGACTGGTATTAGACTTGTGGACTGGATCTGGACTGGGTTGGGATATTTGCTTGATATAGAATTACTTCTTGATAGACAGCTCTCTCTTACACACGAGTACCCCTGGATTTGTTTTTCTAGTCAACCCGGTCTAACACATGTCCTGGCTCTGCCGCTTGCGTTCTTCATTTCATAATGTAACTTGGAGGCCACTCCATGTCAGCTTTCCTTTCTAAATGTAGACTTATCTCATCCTTATATGTGCGTGTGTATGTGTACATGCATAGGAGCCCTGGTGGAGTAGTGCTTACACGTTGGGCTGCAAACTGCAAGGTTAGCAGTTCAAAGCCTCCAACTGCTTCGCGGGAGAAAGATGAAGCTTTCTACTTCCATAATGAGTCAGTGTATTAGTCTAGGTACTTTGGAGAAACAAATCCATAGCAACTCATGTATAAGAGAGAGTTTTATGTAAAGAAAATGTGCATCATGAAAACATCCCAACCCAATGCTGCCCAAGCCCACAAGTCCAACATTAACCCATTAACCCAACACCAGTCCACAAAGTCCTCCA